CAAGAAGACTAGACACCCAAGGCACTGTGAGAAACTGGAAACGCTGTTGAAACATACCTGGATTGATGGCTGGGTGCAAGTGTTCCACTCTTGGGAATATAACGATGCTGGACAGATAGAAATGCGCGGAACTGGAAAGATGTCACCTAAAACAGAATAAATCCAGTAAGAAAAAGATCATTAGGGGTTATTGGTTGGTCAAAAATAAATAAATATATATATTTATTTTTATGTATATATGTATATGTATACTTGTCTCCTTAATGCCTCTGGTATTGGTATTTCAGTATGGTACCTGCCTAGCTCTTTTTTAACTAAAAAGAAAAACAGATTCTCTGGTACCAAGGAGACCCATGGTGGACCCAGCCATGTTCCCACTGAGTTTCTCCCATGTCCAGGCATAACCTGGAGGGCCAGCAGGAAGACCACGTAAGGTAGCCCCCACACAGGATGCCCACTATCAGAACACACAGGAGGCTGGGCTGGCACCAGTGATCAGCCTCCGGTGTAAACGTGAGCTGTGAACTAACAGGTTTACACCTGAACTCTCACAAGGTTTAAAGACTGAAGCACGGCATTTCACCAGATGAAGGAGAATGCAGAAAGCTCATCTCCACCATGAACAGAAATTAGAGTTGGAGGTGTGAACATGGCAGTTACTTCTAGTTGATAACCAAAATGTGCTACCCTTTCCTCCACAGTAATAGACTTTAAATGCTGATTGCACAACTTGTGCTTCAGTTCTTGCAGGGAAATAGTTCACCTGCTACTTGTACGCATTCCCTTTCTCATGAGCTAGACTATGATGTGCCCGTGCCTTAGCCTCGATCATTATGCCAAGAACAGTGCACCTGGAGTCAGAAGTGTGACAAGACACAAGACACAAGGAGCTAAGATGCCTGAGTGACGCTGTGGAGCAGAACGACCCTGTCGACATGGAATGTTTCACTCCTCTCTGCAGGACTATTACAGGAGAGAGACACTGACTTCTCAAAACCTCTCTGTCTAGTTCCTCTTTGTTACAGCAGCTTACCCCACAGCCTGACACCAAAGGTACAGTTGAATGGAAGGGAAGATGCTTTCTATTAACTGTTACCCTCTTGAATCTTCCCGATTTGGCACAGCCGGAGGAAGTACTGATTCATTCTGTGTGGTCGAGAAGCAGTGAAGTGTAGCAGAGAGAGCCCTGGAGTCAACTAGACTTTGGTTGAAAATGCTACTTGACCTCTAAAATCTATACAACTTGGGTCAAGTTAAACTTCCTAAGCTCCAGTTAACCTATAACCTGAGGACAGTCACAATAAAGTAGGGATATTGTAAAATATAAATTAAGTAATATTTAAGGCTACATAAAATAGCCCTAGGAAAGAGCCATTGTTTCATAAACAAGAATGTCCTTTCTTGCATCCTTTCTTCTGGAGGCTCAAACCTAGCAGGAAGTAGGCATGGTTCTGACCGATCAAGCTTCTTGGACTACGCATTGGACTAGTACCTCCTACCCAACATTCTTTAGTTCTCTGCTCCCTATAGATCCAGACATCTAAGGCCTGTAGTTCCATGTTAAGGACAACCCTAGACCCATACTCTCTAGAACAGAAAACAAGAAGGATATGCACTAAGGAAGGTGGGTAAGAGAATGTTCCCCATACAATAAAACCTGTAGCAGATGGATAAGTGATTTAAGTGATGTCTAGACATTCATGGGTTCCTTATCCATATGCCTTATAAATTTACCAAGATGCAAGGCTAGTCCAGCAATCTCCAACTTGCAAGAGATACAAAGATAAAAGTGGTCAAGGCCTCTGCTCTCTTAGAGTTCACAGTAAGATAAACAGAGATACATATAAAAATCTCCAATACATATGGATTCTGAAAAGGGCTATAATGCAATACAAGGTATTATACAAAAAAGGTAGGGTATGGGCTATGAGACTATAACAAAGATTTAACCAAGACAGAGTGTTTTGAAAAAGAGAGTTTACTTCACTATCATGTAATGTTTGAGGTAGATATGTGGGAAAAGGAGAAACTGCCTAAAATAAATATGATTAAGGTGATGAAATCTGTGTTTTTAGCCTCAATACTTCACTTTCGGGGCCAGCACCATGGCATCGTGGGTAACGTCACCTCCTGCAATGCCAGCATCCCATATGGGCACCAGTTCAAGTCCTAGCTACTCTACTTCCAGCTCCATGCTAATGTACCTTTGGAAGCAACAGAAAATGGCCCAACTCCATGGGCCCTGCACCCATGTGAGAGACCTGGAAGAAGCTCCTGGCTCCTGGCTTTGGACCTGCCCAGCTCCTGGACAGTCCAAGTACCCGGGTCCCTGCACATGTGGGAGACCTACATGGAGTTCCAGGCTCCTTGCTTTGGCCTGGTCCAGCCCCAGAAATTGCGGCTATTTCGGGAGTAAAGACATGGATAGAAGACTTCTCTCTCTTTCTTTCTCTCTCTCTCCCTCCCTTTCAAATAAACAAATATTCTATAATTAATTAATTAATTAGATCAGGTTGTTGGGGCAGAGTGTAGTACAGGGTTTGACTCACCTCTTGGGATCCCTGCATCCCTTATCTGGGTGCCTGGCTCAGCCCACTCCTGTTCCTCTGCCTGGCTCCTCCCCCATTCCAGCCTCTTGTTAATGAGTAAGGGCTCATTAGCCTTTGATGACTTGAGCCTAGGAGGCTCAAGTACCTGGATCTCTGCCACTCATGTAAGAGACCCACAGTGAATTCCAGTTCCTGGCAACCACCTGACCCAGCCCCAGCTGTTGCAAGCATCTGGGGAGCGGATCAGCACAGAGAAGATATTTCTCTGTCTCTCTGTCTCTGCCTCTCTGCCTTTCAAATACAATGAAAATAAACAAAGAGATCAGGTTGTTTATTGGTCTGGCAAAAACACTTATGAGGGCCTGTGTTGTGGTGCAGCAGAGTAAGTTGCCAACTGTAACATCTCCATCCCATACCAGAGTGCCAGTTCGAGTTCTGGCTGCTCCACTTCCAATTCAACTCCCTGCTGATGCACCTGGGAAAGCAGCAGAAGATGGTCCAAGTACTTGGGCCCCTGCCATCCATGTGGGAGACCCAGATGGAGTTCCTGGCTCCTGGTTTCAGCCTGGCCCAACCCTGGTCATTGCAGCCATTTGGGGAGTGAAGCAGTGGATAGAATATTTCTCCTCTCTCTGCCTCTCCCAATCTCTGTCACTGTGCCTTTCAAATAATAAATGAAATTTTAAAACTTTAAAGTACTCATGGATTCTAATTTATTATATTTTCTCCATGACATGTTAATGTGAGTCACTAGCTTGGTATTTGACCTGAAATAACACTGCAGGTTGATTTTGCTAATAAGCTGTTTTGCTATAGTTTAAGTTTGTGACAAAATATTCTGAGTGATCCAAATTTGTTAGCAACTCACAGTTGAATTCCCACTTTAAAATCCTCTCGTTCTTATGAGTCATCCCAAAATGCACAATCTGCTTTTCAATATTTACAAGAGCGTAGCACTGTTTTCGACAAGCCATATGGGCTCTGAAATATTAGTGTTCAGGAGGCTGACTCAGAGCATCTCAGCCACTTTGCACCATATTTCTCAAAAACCGTATTTTCCTTCTTTTCACACTCAAATCACAGGTCGTTTGTATGCAAAAAAATGAAAAAATTGTAGCTACTTGAGCTGGGATATTAACTCCTGACAACTCAATAGAAACTTGTTAGTATACTGTGTTGCTTTCATAATATCTGCAAACTAGTAAACTGCCTGACATTTTCAATCATTTTACTTTGGAGCATACAATATTCACTAAACTAAAATATTCAGCATTGAAACATTTATAAGAAATGCAGAAATAGGGGCCGATGTTGTGGTACAGAGGGTTAAGCCACCACCTGCGATACTGGTATGCCAATTAAGCACCAGTTTAAGTCCCAGCTGCTCCACTGCCCATCCAGCTCCATGCTAATGGGCCTGGGAAGGCAGTGGAAGGCGGCCCCTAGCACCCAGGGGACAAACTTGGATGAGTTCCAGGCTTCTGACCTCAGCCTGGCCCAGGCCCCTCCATTGCACCCATTTAGGGAGAGAACCACAGATAGAATCAATCTCTCTCTCTATATATATATATATATAAAAAATAATTCTGCCTTTCAAATAAGTCTTTAAAAAAAGAAATGCAAAAATAAAAATTCTTGCAGTCTAACCATGAAACAAAATTATCTGGGACTTGATTTTAAAAGTTTGAGTTAGAAGAAGAAAAGCAGCTGTAAGTGGAACTTGTAATATTACCTATATATAAATATAATAATCGCCTTGTGATCTGCGTATGAAAAAATGACATTTGTTCTACCAAATCTAGCAGAATGAAAGCACACAGCTTTGTCTAACCATTTAAAACCAGGGTCAATTAAAACACCCAACAACGCTTTAGGCGCCCTTAACAATTTGTGTTAATTGTGTAGCCTGTGCTACACACGCAGTTTTTTTTCTGTAAAACTTAGTTTTTTTCTAGTTTTACCAAAACGTGTAGGATTCTATTTCCACCACAAGGTGTCGGGCCACAGTCATTTAATCTTCAAAGGGAAAGCCCATGAGTACCAAAAAAAAAAAAAAAAATGCGGTTTCTAACGAAACACGGACGGTCTCGGCGATGAGTCCAGGACAGCCCGGGAACGCGGCTGGGCGCTTGTTTTCCTTTGCTTTCTCCAACTCAGGTCCGTTCTGCAGAGCTGCAGGACAACCCCTTAGGTGCGGCCGTGGGGTCGCAGCCACTGCCCGGGGCCGGCTCCAGCGCGGAGCTCCGAATCCTGAGTCCTGACAGCCCCCGCCCGTTAGGGACCCCCAGGACCTGAGGCCGGCAGAAAGGCGGGGGCTCTCAGACGCTCTCCGAATCCCTCGCTGCAAACCCCGGCCACTTGCGAGAGGGACGGGAGCCCGCGTGCGGAACGGGCCGCTCCGCTCCGGCTGGGCGCTGGGAGGCGGCCCGGACGCGGCCGGCAGGGGGCGCCGGGCGCGCGGGGCGGCGGCGGCGGAGGCGGCGGAGGCGGGGTCTGCCCGGCCGGCGAGCGGGCTCGGCGCCCCGGGGACTCGGCGCCCGGGCAGCGCCGCTGCGGCCGCGTCTTACCGTGCAGTCCCACGCAGGAGCGGGTGAGTCCCTGGGGCCGCGCCTGCCCGGCGGGGGCGCGCTCCCTGCGTCGCCGGGGCCCCCGGGGGACGCTGCGGGGCGGGCGGGGCGGCGGCTCCCTCGGCCCCCGGGGCGCGGCGCGGGCGCGGGGCGGGGGGCCGGGCACGCGCACGAGGCGAGAGCCTGGGGGCGGTGATGGATGTTGGTTACGTTTGGCGGAGTGCGGGTTCCGAGGGCCAGTTTTCCAGCCTGGCCAGGGCGCCCGCGTTTGCACGCGCCGTGGGGGAATGACTGGTGCGTGCAGCCGTGCGGCTGGGTCTGGGGTCTCCAATCCGGAGGTTTTTCTGCTGCCCTTCCAGGGTCTGGGAGGGGCTCGGGTGCCTCCGGAGTAGTCCCTCTGACTCCCGGCTTGTAGGGAGAGAGCGCTCCGAGGCGTGGAAGCTGAGCTCGGGGAGGGAGCGGTGCTTTGGAGCGCACGGGCACAATGAAGCGAGTGTGCGCTGGGAACGGCCCTAATGCCCGCGGTGTGTGCCAGCCAGGGAAAGGTTTCTTCCGCGAACAGGGGTCTGCGGAGGCGTGTCGACATGTAGCAGGAAAGCCAGCCCAGCCGCCCGGAGCAGTCCACAGAAGCGGCCGCCTCTCCCCGGGGAGCCGAGTTAGGAGACCCCGGGTCGGATTCCGGGGTGGTCTGAGCCCCCGGCCCGTTCCCTTCCTGGGGTCTTTGCCCTTGGGAAGAGCTTGCTGTGGGGTGTGTGTGCTGATGTCTGCTGGACACCGTGGGTGCTGTGTGTGTCCTCTGCCTCTCTGGCCGGCCTGGTTTTGCGCGCTGACTTTACGCAGGACTGGCAACGCCCGGGCTCATGAATGCCCCGGCCTCTGCTTCCCTCCCGTCCACAGCCAGACCTCTGGCCTGCTGGAAACGCCCGCCTGCTCTCCTGGGCGTCAGGGTCCGGGCCGTCTTGTGTGCTCCCTGCCTGCCACGGTTGTCCCCGGAGTTGATGAGCTCGTGTTGCACAGACGCGGCCGTGTCCACAGACTTTACGGTCCTGGCACTCTTAGGGTTGAAACTGCCCCCAAACACACTACACGCCTTCTCGTGCTTGATGTCAGGAGATGATACTCCCGTTCCTCACCCCGCCCCAGCTCAGCTTGGAGTTCAGCTAAGTCACCGGACGGTGTGGAGTGCCGTGTCTCAGAGAGAGAGACGTTGAGTTGGTCAGTGCTTGATTCCTGGCGATTCTTCCAAGGCCCTTGGTGAACAGTGCAGCTCTGACTTCCCCCGCTCAGGGAAGGCGTGGGCTCTGGCGGGGAAAGCCAGGCCTGGCCTCCCCTCTGCATAGTCACAGGGCTACTCTGTGTCTTGCCCATGTCTTGTTCTTGCTTCTGTTTGTTGACTTTCTTCTGTTCAAATAATGACGTCTTCCTCCACAGTTACCGCACAGAGAAACGGCTGGTGGCCTCACAGCACCCCTACTTTGTTTTTAAGTATTTTTAACTGTCCCTGAAAGAGCTTTCCTCTTAATGAAGTATTACAGGTGACCTGAAATTCAGAAATACTCTGAATATCTTCTGTCAATCAAATTGTGTGTCTGATCTTTTTTTCTCACTGAATTTCATAAAGAACAGATTCAAGATGTATTCCTGTGAAAATCATTTTAGAACTAGTAAAACAACAAATAATATTGTGACATTCTGTGTTTCCCTTCCCTAAAAGTTGGTCCACCAAGCCTGGCTGAAGATCTGTGAAGACCTTAGGGGAAATATTTCTTCAGCCAGCAGAAAGCTGACAGTTATTTCCCAGGAGGTGGACCCAGAGAGCGGGCCTGTCAGTGAGCACACTCCACACCCTCAGTAGACTTGGACCAGCTGTGCCCCACCAAGAGTGAAACCACGCTCTACAAACAGCACCTTCCTGACCTTTATGCCACCTTGGGTTCATTGCTAACAGTATCTATTCTGCTCGTTGTCTGAAACCCAGGCCACATTTCCCCACAAAATCCATCAGTGATTATTAGTTCTGATTCCATTGTCAACAGTCTGTTAAACATCTGACGACTTCCTAATCTGCTATTGCTGCCTCCATTGATAACATTGTTACTCAAAAAAAAGTGTTCTCAGTTCTGTTTACCTTTGAGGGAGTTGGTTTTCCCCTGTGTGAGAACCTAGAGCTAACCCTTCCTGAAATAAAAGGCACATCCCACCCTTGGTAGCTCACCGACATCCCACCCGTGGTAGCTCACCGACATCCCACCCGTGGTAGCTCACCGACATCCCACCCGTGGTAGTTCACCGAGACACCCGGGTCCTTCGTGGTGTAGGTAATGGGACAAAGCAGAGTGGTTACTATTGAAGTAAGGGCACTGGCAGGAAACTCTTGCACATTGTAAATGGGTCAATCAGTCACTCTCTGAGTTTTAGTTGTACTTTATTTACTGTAGTTCTTCAAGTACATTTTTTCATATTGTCCCATCAAACATTAACATCAATAGAAGAAATTTGAAGATTATTATTTTTATTTTTATAGGTGGCTTAAGCCATACTGTTTTGTAGAATTAATGGAGACCAGAAAAGATATGAGAAACCAAGAAGAACTTTGGAAAATGAAACCTAGGAGAAATCTAGAAGAAGATGATTATTTGGTAAAACAATAACTATAATTAAAATATGTAAATGTAGCTCATATGTCATTCTTTATCTCCCAGTGTTGCAATAGTGATTTTTTCACCCTACTCCACTGGTGAAATCTGTATTTGGATTCCTGTCACTAACACTGTGAGAGATGACAGGCAGTGTGGTATATGTGAGAGGAATAGTACCTTGATTGTCAGCAACTAAACCAACTGACTGAAGAAGTCACTGGAAATCCTGGGTCGTGATTTATTTACAAAGTGAAAGTGTTGTACGGGCCATCTGCATGGTTCTTCTAATTCCAACCGTCTGTGGTTTTAAGTTGGAAAAAAAAAAAAAAACAGTGTCTATATAGCAGAGATTTTGTAAGCAAACATTTTTCTCAGAGGTGCTATGGCAGCACACCAAGATATTACTGTAACCAAATACATTCACTCTTGGAGAATCTGTTATCTAGCGTTTAGCCAACCACAGAATTAAAGGCTTCTTACTGCATTACTGCATTGAAAACGTGGCAGGAATTTTTGTTTCAAACTCTTACCTTTCTAAATTATCTCATCTGCAGTTTTAACAGAAATTATATGTTTTCCTCTTGATTATTAGGCAAAATAAGAAATGTATTAAGACTCTATAAAAATAACAGCATGCATAAAATAAAATCATTTTCATTTTTTAAGTGTCTTGCTTGCTGTTTCATAATCTGCTCTTAACCATAAAGTTGATCTCAGTTGGTTATACTTTTTGTTTTAACATCTAGAACTGACAGAAGCTGTTTCACGCTCAACTCCCTCTAAATGGAGCAGTTGGAAAAAGCATTGGCTATAACAGTGATTTATTACTCAAAGTGAAGTTCACATACCAAGAGCTGTCATTTTTAACACTAGAAATTATAGAGAACTGTATGAGTTAAAATTACTCTGCATAAAATTAGATGAACAAGATAATCATTAACATGATTTTGGGTATTACAATGTTCTAGATCCACATATTGAGTGAGAAGGAACCTTATTCATAGTGTTTTGGTATTTCGGTCAGTGATGGAAATGACACATTATTCAATGCAGTCTTCTTTTGAATTGTTGACTGTCTAGAAATGCACCTGGATAAAGTGTAACGTTCTCAGGAAATAATCATTTCTGTGGGATTTAACTACTTATAGAGCCTTTTTTTAACCTAATATGTATGACTATCAGTACTTACACAGATGTTATTTTAGAAATAAAAATCAAATTTCAAGAGTATGTGAGATAAATTACATATTTTTATGTAATAGTAATAATGATTATATTATTTCTGATCCTTTGTATGAGTGAAGAATCTACTCTTCATTGCTTTGCAGACACTTGTCCAGTAATCAATAAAAATAAACTCATAGTTTACACATTTATTGTTTTTACCAAAGATTACATTTTTTAAAATTTCATTTTATTTATTTGAAAGAGTTACAGAGAGATAGAGAATCTTCCATTCACTGTTCACTCCCCAAATGCCAACAGCCGGGGCTGGGCCAGGCCAAAGCCAGGAGCCAGGAGCTTTTTCCAGGTCTCCCACATGGGTGCAGGGGCCCAAGTACTTGGGCCGTCTTCTGCATTCCCAGGCACATTAGCAGGGAGCTAGATGGGAAATGGAGAAGCCGAGACTTGAACCCACACCTATATGGGATGCAGATGTTGAGAGCAGTTTAACCCATTCTGCCACAACACCAGCCCTATTACTACATTTAGAAAAAAAAAAAAAAAAACTTCTTCAATTTTGGCTTTCCAGCTGCATTAGTTTATGTCTTCAAGTGTCTAAGCTTTAGCAGAGGTGTCTGAAGCATTTGTTTCTTTTCATGGAGAACTCCAGTGACCCTAGGTACACCTTCGCTCAGTGCCACGTTGGCTGCACTGTCCCCAGCAAGCCCGGCTCTGCAGGCAGGGTTCTGAATGCCCTTCCCCCTGAGAAACACAATGAGTGAGCAATAGGTAATGAAGAGAAGTACTTTGTTTTGTTGAGTGTTAAGATGTGCACTTTCTTTCCTTTGTAGAGCAAGGACACAGGAGAGACCAGCATGCTGAAAACACCCGTGCTTGTGCCCATGCACCAAACAGCGCACGCTGATGAATTCGATTGCCCCCCAGAACTGCAGCACACACAGGAGCTCTTTCCAAAATGGCGCTTGCCAATTAAAATAGCCGCTGTCGCCTCGTCCCTGACGTTTCTCTACACGCTTCTGAGGGAAATAATTCACCCGTTAGTCACTTCCCACCAACAATATTTTTATAAAATTCCAATCCTGGTCATCAACAAAGTGCTGCCAGTGGTTTCCATCACCCTCTTGGCACTGGTTTATTTGCCGGGTGTGATAGCAGCAGTGGTACAGCTTCATAATGGAACCAAGTATAAGAAGTTCCCACCCTGGCTGGATAGGTGGATGTTAGCAAGAAAACAGCTTGGGCTCCTCAGTTTCTTTTTGGCTGTCCTGCATGCGATTTATAGTTTATCCTATCCAATGAGACGCTCCTACAGATACAAGTTGCTAAAATGGGCATACGAGCAGGTAGGATGACGATGTTGACAGTACTACCAAACTAACAAGTCGGGGTCGTCTAACACATTAATCTTTTCTCATTGTGATACCAATGCCCCAAACCTCTGTTGAAACCATGTGTTGAGAAAGTATTAAGCATTTAAAAATATTTTCCATGATAACTTCACTGGGTCTTGGCTAGACACTTTTACATTGAAGAATGTGTTTTAACCTGAAAATAAAGCACAATGTTAACAACATTGAAAAATATAAATATTTGTTCATAGATAGGGATGCCTCTAATCCTCTACCACTCTCCAAGCTTACTTTTTAATGCTAATTGTCCTTGTCGTCTTACTTACCATGTGTGCATGCATATTATGATTTTATTATAAGGTAATAAAACAGATGAGATACATGTTGTATTCCAGAAAAGATATTAATAGCTGCCGTGTAAAACTTCTGTTAGAAGAATCCAGGAAAAAAGAAAAAGTCATCAATTATGGAGCCCTCTTTGTTTTCAGGGCCTCCCTTGTAGACAGGAAGTGCAGAAGGAGACACATGTGGGAAGTGAGTATTGTTTACGTTCCATTTTTCCTCTTTTACTCCCTGATAGGTCAAGCAAAACAAAGAGGATGCCTGGATTGAGCATGATGTTTGGAGAATGGAGATTTATGTGTCCCTGGGAATTGTGGGACTTGCAATCCTGGCTCTTTTAGCGGTGACATCTATTCCATCTGTGAGTGACTCTTTGACCTGGAGAGAATTTCACTATATTCAGGTAAATGACATGTAAAATAACTCTGCTCTCCCCAAGAGATAAATCTTGTTTGTGCTTATAATATCAAGTGCCCTGACTCACCCAACAAAACACAAGAGATTTTCCAATAGCAAAGATCCCACAATTGTTCTAATTAATAATATCCTCTCTCATCATTTTCCCTGTTATTTCTAAATAGGAATAGTGTTTCTAGACATAAATAAAAGGCAATACTCAAAGAAAAGTACTCTAATAGTTGAAATTTGTTACACAACTTGCAGGCAACCAAATAACTACAAATATGATATTTTAGGAATCTAATATCCATGGTCTATCAGTTCTCCATAAATAAGAATATTATGTTACCTGTCTTCTGACTTTAAAATCTGTGCTTGAAATGCAGAGTGTTATCTACTGAGCTATTCAGGTATTTCATTTTAGAAGGTGCTTTTCCAAGTTAAATTTCATGTAGCTTCCTCAGGAGTTTCTAAATATTCTTGAAATTCAAAAACTATCACCGACTTACTGAAGTTTATCTCTTAGTGGTAGATTACACTTCATCAGAGCAGTGTGCCAAGATGCAGAAAGAGACCCATGTCTGACAAGGCTCAGAGGACTAAATTTAATTCCGTTATCAGCACTGCCAAGATTTTTCAATTACAGGATTTTGGCCTTTATAGGTGGACTTCTTTGGAAATTTCCGTTAAGTCAGACGTCCCTCACTGTTCTTTCTGCGTGTCCACAGGTTCACTTCAGCAGACATAAGGGCACCTGATTAAGCTGGGAAGTGTGGCTCCATCAGAACTAGTGCAGTGCAGCTCAGATAGTGTACCGCATTCTCCAACACAGTATTTTCTCATTTGCAGGTTCAGCCTGTAGGAGTGCTCTGTTCCTCCAATAAGTAGCTTTCTTCCTACATTACTCCCCCATCACACATATCTGAACACCACTCTTCAGCTTCGATTGGTAATTCAACCACTGCATCATAGCAACTGATTCCATTTCACTCAATGTGCAACACCTTGTCCATGAGACATATATAGAACACATTTATTCAACTTATTTTCAACCAGGAACATGTATTTTTCAATTACTAACCCTGAAACTTTTAGAATCCAAGAGCTGGTTCTGCTATGATTTACCTTAGAGGTGCTTATCCCGAAATATGAACTGAGCTATTTGATGGTATTCATTGAGGCTTGAGAGTACGCCTGAATAATTGTGAGTTAGATTCATTCTGGCAGGCTAATAATCATTTCCAGTACAGTGAGTAGAGGTCAGAAGTCATCTAGTGGAGCTGTTGTCAGAATGCCATAAGATTACATAGGTGAATAACTATTTGTAAGCAAGTTCAGCGCCAAAGCAGGCTGAAATTTTTCTTCATATTTTTTTGTTAAAGTATTAAAATAATCATCAGTATTTTTCCATTCTATCGGAACGTTTGAGTTTTTTAATCATAGGCCAAATTAATTCCCTTTGATATTCATTCACCAAAAACAGAGTGAATTACATTAGTTGCCTTCACATTAATAAAGATCACTGAGATCAAATTGACTTTTGCAGCAATCTTCAATTAAAGCACAAATATTGACTGAGCAGCTAACAAGTGCAAATCGTTGTGTTGATTCTGCAAGGATGCTGTGGTCAGACACGGTCCCTGATCCTCAATGTCTCCTAATAGAATTCAGGCAGATGCACAAGAGACAAAGTACCGTAAGTGTCCTAGAGAAATGAACAAAGTGCTAGGAAAACAGAAGACAGACTCATTGGTCACCTGAGACTAAAAGGATGGTAGTGAATTTTCTCAACTTAGACAGCCAGGAGGCAAGAGCAATATCCAAGGAAGGTGGTGATGGAGAAAATGTAGAGAATGGCAACACGTGACTGAGCGTTGTTGAGAAACTCAGTGGGAAAACAATCAAACATGAATGAAAGGATTTCCAAGCCTCTGATGACGTAGGATAGTATAAACTCGTATTGAACCGGTTTTCACCAGTATACTTTTGTTTTTCTTTTGCAGAGCAAGCTAGGAATCGTTTCTCTTCTACTGGGCACAATACATGCACTGGTTTTTGCCTGGAATAAATGGGTAGATATCAAACAATTTGTGTGGTACACGCCCCCGACATTTATGCTCGCTGTTTTCCTTCCCATTGTTGTGCTGATGTCTAAAGCCGTACTGCTTCTGCCATGCTTGAGGAACAGGATCCTGAAGATCAGACATGGTTGGGAAGATGTCACCAAAATTAACAAAACTGAGATGTCTTCTCAGCTGTAGAATTACTGTTTACACAGTTTTTTCCATATTGGTATATTTCATCATAAACATTTCAAAGTTGTATTTGTTAATAAAATGATCACTTGAGGATATTAATGTATCTCTGTTTATGGGAGAGTAAGTTTGAAATATATATATATATATAAAATTCCTTGCAGATTTGATTCTAAGCAAAAATGTCTTTTAAAATACAAATCTTCAGCATATTCTCTATGTTTGATGAAGCTAAACACAACAGAACAATCACATCTGCTTTGCCAGACTGCCAAGCATTACAAATAATAAAAGACCTTATTATACCAGTCCTTGCTTCCCATTGCACAGGTATCATGAACCATGTTTATCTGAATCTATGATACTAGTATGTCCAGTGTTTGTGGTTTTTTGAGAACTTTTATTCTCATGCAGCCAGATTTTATTCATGGAAAACCTGTCTCAAAAAGCACACAGGAGATGAGTGGTTTAGATGCCAGATGCAGTGCCCATGTTCCGTGTATGAGTGCCCAAGTTCAATACCCACCTCTAGCGCCTGTCTCCATCTTCCTGGTAATAATGGCTCAAGTAACTGGATTCCTATCACCCACATGGGAGACCTGTGTATACACACACACACACACACACACATGCACATCCAGACAAAACTGAAGCTATCCAGGATAAAAAGGAAATTCAGTAATTCCCACTTGAATATATACAACTTAGTTGAACTTATTTCAGTACATTGGTGAAAGCATACCAGGAACCAGTTATTGAAGAGGCAAACTGTACTTCAGCTGTCCATGACTTGGTAACTCAATCTGTTGTATATTCAGAGGTTTCTAAAATTAGCAAGAATCATCACAGGCCTTATCTTTTGTACAGAGAGGCTACTTATGATTAAAGACAGTAGAGTCAATGCTACTGACCCAAATTAGGAAAACAAATTCATACGTTCACTAAGTGGAGACTGTTTCTACTTTTTTGTTCTATTACAAGGGTAATTATTCATCATTACATGGGGGCTGAGGAACCTCCTGAGTTCTAAGTTTGTGTGCTACTGGAGTTCAGACAGAGACATGCTTGCAGACAGTGAAGAAAGGAGTTGGGAGCAGCACAGTTGGAGACGAGAGACATGATTCACCATAAGAAACAGGAATCTAGGGTTTTAGAGTTGCAAACCAGATTCAAAAGTTGACTTAATATGGGATGAGTCAATTAAGCAGGACACACATGCATCCTCATCCGCCTCTGAGATGCAGCAGTCGAGTGCCTGCGCCGTTACCTGCAAGGGAAAGTGCCAGCACCTTCCGGACTAGCAGGAGACATCAAGTGCTGGCCTTCCTGGTACCAAGGCAGCAGTGATGCTGGAGCTTGGAAATGAGTTCCAACAAAGTGCACCTCAAGCAAGCTCTCAAGGACAACATCTGAGTCCTGGCTTGGTGACTGGAGCACTGTTGCTGAGTCAGGTAACAAGCAACGTCAGGCCTCTTCTGAAACGTGGAATAGACCTCTTTGGAAATTCCCAGTGATAGCAGAAAAGGAATTTGCAAGGCTTTAGGAGGAAGACACAAAACATCTATATCCAGTTTATAGTCATAGATTGATAAAAACTAAATAACTGCAATTTTTCTAAATTTTTGATAATGCTTGTATAGTATTTTTATAGGCAGAATAAAACGTTTGTGCCTGGTTGCCCCTCTTCCAGGCCAGCTCTCTGCTGTGGCCAGGGAGTGCAGTGGAGGATGGCCCAGGTGCTTGGGCCCTGCACCCGCATGGGAGACCAGGAGAAGCACCTGGCTCCTGCCTTCGGATCAGCGCAATGCACCAGCCGCAGAGGCCATTGGAGGGTGAACCAACAGCAAAAGGAAGACCTTTCTCTCTGTCTCTCTCTCTCTCTCACTGTCCACTCTGCCTGTCAAAAAAAAAAAAAAATTTTTGTGGTAACCAATACACAGAGTACAAAAGTATATAAATGAAATTGACATTTTGAGATCTGATTATTGCTTATCGCTCTTATCTATACTCTTGAGGAACAGTGGTTTTTCCACTTGTTTAATTCTTTAATGAAGGGTTAAGCTTTGATTATAAAGAAAATTGAAAGTGTGTCATTGTAAAATTTTTTTTAACTAAGAGGTAAGGTGAGAAGTATTATGTATTTCATAAACTGTATATATGAAATACATGAAATTTGTTCCCTTTATAGAAATAAAAGTTATTATATTTTTAACAAAATATATTCTGGTATAAGTTTGGATTTCCTTTTTTCCAATCAGTATCTATAAACCACCTCCCATATTCAAGGCCAGTGCTAGACAGAGGATAAAGCAAGATAGAAATGATCTAGTAGCTACTCAAAGACTGATAGGGAAGACAAGTTTAGGAGAGCAGTGGATTCTGAGAGTGCTGTGTCACTGAGGAAGGCAAGTCCAGTTTTGTTTAGGAGGGCAAAGTTGGGAAGATGTGCAGTTGATGAGAGAAAAGAACTATGTGAGTGTTGAAGTATAAGTAGACTTCCTTTAGGCAGAATGGGAAGATAGAGTGGGATGGGAGGGGGTGGAAGGTCTACTTCAGAGTGACTGGAACAGAAAATACCAGACTTTGTGGGGAAAGCAATGCCAGGTTAGGTGCGGACAAAGGCCACCTAGGTCATCATATGACATGAAGCTGTCTCTGGACATTTTCCATCGAGGAGTAGGGAAGTCAGTGAGAAACTCAAAACAGGCTTAAAATCATCTGATTTGTATTTCAGAATGATTTATCTACAAGCCATGCAGGAATGGGTTTGATGGTGAGGGCCAAGGGGTGACGGCACGTTGGGAAACTGCAAGAATATTTGGGAGATGAGTACAATGTTCCAGGAAGAAATAAATTCCCATATCAGGGGGATTACAGAGGGGATGGATAAAACAGTGGAGCTAATGAAATGCGATAAGAAGAGCAGCTCTCCAAGAGTCTGCGAGCAATAGAAAATGAGGAGGGGGCAGGCATTTGGCACGGCAGTGCGGATGCCATTTGTGATGGCTGCATCCATATCAGAGCCCCTGGGGTCAAGTCCCAGCTCCATTTCTGATTCCAGCTTCTTGCTAATGCACAGGAGATAGCTCACGTACTCAGGTCCCTGCCATCCACGTACAGATTTGTCTTGAGTTCTCAGATTCTAGCTTTGGCCTGGCCCAGTCACAGCTGTTGCAGGCATTTAGAAAGTGATCAGTGGGGCCAACGCCGTGTCTCACTAGGCTAATCCTCCGCCTTGTGGCGCCGGCACACCGGGTTCTAGTCCCAGTCGGGGCGCCGCATTCTATCCCGGTTGCCCCTCTTCCAGGCCAGCTCTCTGCTGTGGCCAGGGAGTGCAGTGGAGGATGGCCCAAGTGCTTGGGCCCTGCACCCCATGGGAGACCAGGAGAAGCACCTGGCTCCTGCCTTCGGATCAGCATGGTGCGCCGGCCGCAGCGCGCCGGCCGCGGCGGCCATTGGAGGGTGAACCAACGGCAAAGGAAGACCTTTCTGTCTCTCTCTCTCTCACTGTCCACTCTGCCTGTCAAAAAAAAAAAAAAAAAAAAAGTGATCAGTGTACAGGAGATATCTCTGTTTCTGCCTCTGTCTCTATCTATACAGACAGTTAAATTAATCTATGTTAATTTTAAATTTTTAAAAAAATGAAGAGTGAGAGATAAAGCATTCAAGGTAACATTTTTAGCATTCTTTTAGCTTGGATGATTTAAAGAATGACAGCTTGAATGATTGATTGATTGATTAGAACAGGAGAAAGAAAGATATCTTCCATCCACTGTTTCATTCCCCAAATGGCTGCAACAGCCAATGTCTGGACCAGTTCAAAGCCAGGATGCAGAACGGCATTCTGGTCTAGCACATGAGTGACAGGGACCCGAGGACTTGGGCCATCTTCCATTGCCTTTGCAGGTGCTTTGGCAGGGAGCTGGATCAGAAGCAGAGCAGCTAGGACTCGAGCTGGCACTCCTGTGTCACCAGCACTGGATTTACCTGCTGCACCACAACACCGGCCCCAAGAATGGCAACTTTAAATATGATAGAGAAATCTGCAAAAGTAGCAAATATATTTTAATGAAAACAAAAATAGGTGTGTGTTCTGCATAGTGTATGTTGTTTGCAATAATCTTAGTTGCTAAGAGATACAACTTTTCTTTGCAGTTTCAAGGTACAGAAATAGAATTAAGCATACAGTTTGGGCAGTGGGAAGGAAAAACAGATGGTTTCTTGCTCCTTTGAAATGGCGATTTTGAGAGGCAGAAAGACAGGCAGACAGAGAGCTCTCATCTGCTGGATCACTCCCAAAATGCCCACAAGAACCAGAGCCAGGCTTCAGTGAGGCCAAGAGCCAGGACCACAGCTAGGTGGCCCATGTGGGAGGCAGGAATCGTATTACTCGAGTCATGACCGCTGCTTCCAGAGTGCATTGGCAGGAAGCTGGAGTCATGAAATCAAACCTAGGCACTCTGATGTGCAGCATGGGCATATTAACCACTAGACCAAACGCCCACTCCTGCAAAGGTGTTTTTAAAATAAAACTTCTGGTGTGGGTCACACAGTCCTGGAGGACAGTCACAGCGTCTCCCTGGAGTGAAAGGACCAGCACCTGGGTTGTCACTGACCAGGAACCCAGAGCCTGCCTTCCCCAAGCAGAGTTCCTTTTCCTGCTCAAAATGAGTCCTCCTGGTGTTTATTTCCTTTTTTTTTAAGATTTATTTATTCATTTGTTTGTTTGAAAAGCAGAGTTACAGAGAAGCAGAGGCAGAGAGAGAAGTATTCACTCCACTGGTTCACTCCACAGATGGCTGCAACGCCCCAGAGCTGGGCGGATCAGAAGCCAGGAGCTTCTCCTGGGTCTCCCACATGGGTGCAGGGGCCCAAGGACTTGAGCCATCTGCTGCTGCTTTCCCAGGCCATAGCAGAGAGCTGGATCAGAAGAGGAGCAGCCGGGACTCTAATAGGCATCCATATTGGATGCTGGCACTGCAGGCAGTGGTCTTATCTGCTACACCACAGTGCTGGTCCCAAAATATGTCATTTTCCTTGAGACCACTAACTCTAGAATTTTCTTCCAAGGAAATGAGGAAATGAACAGGATGCAATA